AAAAAAAAAAAAAAAAAAAAAAAAATTGTACATTTTTGCCACGTCCCTGCTGTGTACTGAGGCCTGGGTGGAGGGAAAGTACTGGGTGCTTGACACTGGAGCTGTGAGTCCGCCTGGGGCCTGCTGGGCACACGGTGACATTCCCACTTAGGGTGAAAATATCAGAGTTGGGGAGGGGCTGCATGGTAAGCATGGCCGTCCTGCATTCCCGCCTGGGGGGACAGAGGTATCGTGCTGTCCGGATGGGAGTAGCCCTGAGGAGCGTGGTGGCCCAGGCCCTCACAGACATCCCCCTGGGGTCCCTGGGCCGGGAGCTTGGGTGGCCTGCACTGTCCCGCAGGGCATCTGGGGCAGAGCGAGGAGGTCCAGGGTGCCCGTGCCGGGGATGGGAGCCCTCCAGTCCCCTCTGAGTGGCCGCTGCCTCCCACTGTCCTTCACAGGCTGCTTCCACAGTGGCGCTGTCCGGGTGGAAGGGGATGTGTTTTCTCCTCCCGGCGAGAACTGCACCATCTGCGTTTGTGTGGTAAGTGTCGCCGTCACCGTCACGGGGTCCCCAGGCTTCGCAGTGTTTTCCTGACCTCCTTGGCTTTTGGAGTGAGGCGAAGAGCCCAGGCGTCAGAGGGAGCTCGCTGCTGAGAGCAGGGAGCATCTGAGGCTGTGGACTTGGGTTAGGCCCGTGGGACCGAGGGTGGGGAGTGAAGCTGGCCTCTGGGCAGGGAAGAGCCCCAGGTGGGGAGGCTCTTCGAGCTGGGCAGGGCTCACCGGCCCAGGAGCTGTGGACTGCTCTCTCAGGCTGGACATTTACCCCCAGTAGGAGTCGCCATTACCGCCCTCGGCTTGCTGAGAGGTTTTTTTTCACTTCTGAGGACTGAACCCTGGGCCTCCTCACTAACTACACCCCAGACTATTTTTATTTTTTATTTTGAGACAAGGTCTTGCTGAGTGGCTAAGTTTCCCAGGCTGGGCTTGAACACCATCCTCCTGCCTCAGCCTCCCGAGTAACTGGGGTTGCCAGCATTCACCATCTTGCCCAGCTCTGTCTTTTGCTTTAGGCAGGGTGAGTCCCCAAGGATAGTTAGTAAGCACCCACTGTGTCCCGTAGTTGTGACTCCACACCCCTGCAGGCCAGGCTTGGGGTGCGGGCTTCAGGGCCAGGAATTGGGCTGAGGTCTGTCAGAGACCCGAGCCCAGCTCCGTCCCCACCTCGCTGGCCCCCTCTGCCCACCTTTAAAAGTGGCTCCTGGCCTGGCTCTGACGGTGGAGCCTGTGGCCACATAGCCCAGGCCAGCCTCGAATTCTTGTCAGCCCTCCTGCCTCAGGCTTCCGGGTGCTTGGCTCACAGGCGTGCACCGCCAACCCTGGCTTAGCTTCACATTTTAATAATTTGTTTTTAAACTCCCTGCTTTGACTGCCTGTAAAAGCCCTTTGGGTCAGGCTCAACGGCATCCCCAGGGAGGCCCGGCCCACTGTGGTGTCCCACAAGGGGTCTTCTCACCCCGCCAGCATGAGCCCAGAAGCGGTGGCCCTGGTGTGGGTCCCGAGGGCTCTGAGGCTTCCCTGGGGCACTTCCGGGTGGGGAAGGCACTCTGTGCTGGGGACACCCATTGCCCTCTGTGCAGGCAGGGAACGTGTCCTGCGTCTCCCCCGAGTGTCCTCCCGGACCCTGCGAGGTGGCCCCGCTCTCCGACTGCTGTGCCTGTGTCCCAGGTGAGGGGCCCTGGTGGGAGGTGGGGCGGGGCTGGCTCAGGTCAGCCCACCCAGAGCGCCATTCTTGGGCACCTCCTGTGTGTGCGGCGTCCACTGCTGCGTGTGCCTGCTGCTGGGCCTGCACCTGCTTGGCACAGGCCTTCAAGGCCGGCGGAAGGGGCCGAACCAGGTGGGCAGGGGGCCCTGGGCCCACTGACAACTCAGGCCTGGGATGAGTGCACACTGTCGTGGATGCCCCACCCCCCTGCGCCCTGTGGGTGGGGCACCCCAAGTCCTTGTGCCACCTCTGTCTCGTTCCCTTGTTAGGATGAGGACACTGAGGCTCAGAGAGGTTGTATTATTGCTCAGGGGCACACAGCCAGTTAGCAGTGGAGCAGAGTGATTTCAAAGCTGGTCTTTTTTTTGTTGCAGCAGGGCTTGAACTCAGCACTTGGCACTTGCCACGCAGGCACAGTATCACTGAGCTACCTCCCCAGCCCATGGTGTTCTGCTGAAATATATTTTCTCTAACTTTTAAAGGTTATATTATTATTGTTGTTATTTTGTGGTACCAGGGATTGAGTTTAGGACCTTTGAACTGAGCTACATCCCAGCCCTTTTTATTTTTTACTGCAGACAGGGTCTGGCTAAGTCACTAAATTGCCCGGGCAGGACTCCAACTCATGCCTCCTGCCTCAGCCTCCCAGAGTGCCGGTATCAAGGCCCGCGTCCCCATGCCTGGCCTGTTGGGCTTTAAATAAGTTCTTCTGAGTGGCCAGTAAGAGTCCCTGTGAGGTAGGAGACACTATAAGGCCCACACACAGAGGGGACAGAGGCCTTAAGTGTCCTGCCAGTCAGTGCCTGGAGCAAAGGCCACCCGGCTGCAGTGGGTGCAGCCAGGGCTGGACTGTGCCTCCTCTCCCCGCAGTGAGGTGCTACTTCCATGGCCGCTGGTATGCGGATGGGGCCGTGGTCAGGGGGGCAGGCGATGACTGCACGGCCTGCATCTGCCAGGTAGGGGCAGGGACCGCTTCGTGCATCTGGGTGATAGGGAGAAGGATGCCCAGAGCCCCCGGCCCACCCAGGCACGGCTGTGACAGTGCCTGCTCAGGGACCAGGACTCAACCCCAGGCCTCCTGGCCCCGGTGACAAGGCCGTGGGTGGCAGAGGGCTTGGGGGCTGAGCGGGAGGGCGGAGGTGCAGCTGGGTCATGGGGCCTTTGCAGCCCCAGGCCAAAAGGGGTGGTACAGGGGCTGAGGCGCTGCTGTGGGGGTGAGCTTGCAGGGCACAGAGGGCATGGGCTTTGGTGCCTGGGGCGTCCCCTGGTGGAGGTGAGGGGCAGGGCCACCATGGCAGGGAGGAAAGAGCGGTTCAGTCAGGGTCAGGGCTGGCGGGGCCCCGGGAAGGACTCCCAGCCCCTCTGCCCAAGAGGCCGCAGCCCTCACCTGCACCACCCGCTGCCTTCCAGAATGGGGAGGTGACGTGCTCCTTTACGCCATGTCCCGAACTGGACTGTCCCCGCGAAGAATGGCGGCTGGGCCCTGGCCAGTGCTGTTTCACCTGTCGGGAGCCCGCAGCCCGCTCAGGTGAGGCCCCCAGGGCCAGACACCACAGGCCGAGACCGTTGGCGACTGTGTGTGGGCAGGGGTGTCTGTCCGTGACCCCTACCCACTTCTTTCCCTCCTGTCTGGCCAGGCTGCTCCCTGGACGATAACGGGGCCGAGTTTCCGGTGGGACAGATCTGGTCGCCCGGCGACCCCTGTGAGTTGTGCATCTGCCAGGTGAATGACAGCCTGCTCGCCTTCAGCTGCTTCCTGCTGCCCGCCGCGGTCCCTTCTCCATCGGCAGAGCTGCGGGGCCCTCGGCTGTGCCCTGGGTCAGCCTGGGGTCCTCCTGGGCTTCTTGGGGGCAAGGCGGTGGGATCTGGGCCAGGAGAAGGTTGGCAGCAGTGCCGGCCCAGCTGCTCACCTCGCTGTGGGGTTTTGCTTCCTTTCTGTTCCCTCTTTCAAGGTGAGGTCCTAGTACAGCGGTGTAGTAGGCGTCCCTGGGAGCCCCAGTCAGAGCTGCAGGACCCCAGGCTCTAACCGGAGCCTGCGTGTCAACACCCCGGGATTCCATGTGCGAGTGTGAGAGGCTTGGCCTGCGCATTTCAGTCCTAGGACTCACACCCAGGGCCTGGTGCGTGCTAAGAGAGTGCTCTGCCAGTGAGCTACGCCCCAGCTGTGTTTCACATTTCGATTTTGAGACAGGGTCTGGCTCAGTGGCCCAGGTTGGCCTTGAACCTGCAATCGTCCAGCCTCCAGCACTTAACACGCTTGAGTGTGCTCTGTGAGAGTTGCACCGAGAGGACAGCCCCCGCACAGGCTGCTTCTCTTCTTCGTCAATGACTGTGGCACTCATTTCACAGGAGAGAAGGAGAAAAGGGCAAAAGCATTTATATTCTTTAAAAAGAGAGAAAGAACGAGGGCGGGAGGGAGAGAGGAATCTCACACGGCAGTGTGGTCCTCAGACTAGACATTTCCAGGGCGTCGTTTCCCATAAGGAGGATTTTATTGTCCTCCGTAAGTTTGGGGTGGACCAAAGCCCAGGGGGTGTGGAGGGAGGACGTGGCTGAGTGACAGGGTGGCCTTTGGCTGCTACTGCAGAGGGACAGAGGTGGCCACAATTCCAGCCCGAGTCCCCTGCCGGGCTGTGCGGACCCCTTTGGGAAGGCTTGCGGCACGTTTCTGGGTGGCTGGTCTCTGCAGGCCCCGCATCATGGCACCCAGGGCATGAGGTGTCACTGTACTTTCTGGGCTGGGCAGCGGGGCCTGGGCAAAATCCCCCCTTCTTCCAGGCAGACGGCTCAGTGAGCTGCCGGAGGACGGACTGCGTGGACTCCTGTCCCCACCCCATCCGGATCCCGGGGCAGTGCTGCCCTGACTGCTCGGCAGGTAACAACCCCATCCGGCAGAGATCTCAGGGGTCCTGGGTCCTGACCACCCGACCCAGGCTCCTCTGCACAGTCCGAGCTCCATCTCCTGTCAGACCTGAAGACCCAGCTCACCCCATTTCCCAGAGGAGGAAACCAGGGGCCAGGAAGGAAAGCAGTTTGCCCACGGGAGAGGAGCCCTTTCTCCGCTTCCCTGTGGTGGGGGCGGAGGCCTAACCAACCTAGAGCTGTACCTTGAACAGCAAGTGCTCTGTCCCTGAGCTACTGTCCACCCCTTTTGTAAAATTTCATTTTGAGTTAGGGTTTTGTTGAGTCTCCCAGGGTGGGCTCAAACCTTCCGTCCTCTTGCCTCAGCCTCCCAAGTAGCTGGAATTACACCCAGCTGAGGCAGTGGGGTTTTTTTTGGTTTTTGTTTTTTTTGGTCCCGGGGATCAAACTTGGGTCCTTGCGCTTGTGAGGCAGGAGGCAGCACCACTGAGCTAAATCCCCAGCCCCATGGCTGTGGTTTTAAAAAGTCATTTTTGTCTTTTCCACTATCTCAACATGAACAAATGGTTGTAGCAAATTGAGAAAATACAGAAAGCAAAATAAGTAAGTAAAAGAGGCCCTCTACCACGGTTAACTCCATGGCTAGGTCTTTCTAGTCTCTTTACAACACACTTAACGCTCACTAGATGTCTCCTAGAGTGGTTTTGTTCCTGCATCGCCCACTTTTCTGCTTGCCAGCCTGTGATGCCCTTCACCACAGCCTGGGGGCGCCAGCAGCCGAGGGCCGTGTGAGGGGAGTGGGGGAGAGGAGACACTACACCCGCCCCCCTGGGGTGTAGACGCTGTGGCCCCCAGCAAACCCAGCGCTGGGTGGGGCGGCCTGTTCTTGTACCTGATAAGCTCCAGGCTCTGCCTCATGCCCACCCCAGCGCTCACCGCATGCCCTGTCTGCAGGCTGCACCTACACGGGCCGGGTCTTCTACAACAACGAAACCTTTCCTTCAGTGCTTGACCCATGCCTCAGCTGCATCTGCCTGGTATGTAGCACCCTGTCCTGGGAGCCCAGCCTCCTCCCCGCCTGCTGGTCCCTATGGGGTCCTGGGAAGTGTACCCCCTGGGTGCCATTGTCCACGTGGCTGGTTCACAGGGCGCTGGCAGTGTGGACTGTGGCCGGGGCTCCTGCTGAGGGTGCCCGTTCCTTTCCTGAGCCCTGAGGCTGTGGGAGCCAGTGTGTGTGTCCCCTGGACATTCTGTGGGTGCCCCGGGCGTCTTATTCCTCAGACAGGGCACTGGGCACAGGGCCAGCATCGCCTGGCCATCCCCCTGCGGCTGAACCACGGAGTCCACCCAGAGCCCCCGAGGGTGGGTGGCTGGGTGCAGTAGGTCTGGCACAGAGGGGAGTCAGAGTCATAGCTCACAGTGGGTGGGAGGAGACGAAGTCTTCGAAAGACTTTAAAATGCAGCCGTGCTGTGCCCTGTGGCCCTCGGTTGCTTGTCCTTTGGTTGTACAGTGCCGGGTAGACCCAGGCCTGGCCCTGTCCCAGCTGCCTGCTCCCAGGCCCAGCACTCACCATTCCCTGCCGTCCGCGGGCCTTTGGTCAGCAGGCTCCTGATGACATCAGAGCCCATGGACACGGCCGGGCCTGTGTCCTACAGGGTGGCATGGAGTGAGGCCCCCCTGCCTGAGGCCTCCCCGCTTTGCTGCCAGTGTCTGTGCCGATGTCTCTCGTCCACAGATGGGCTCAGTGGCCTGCTCACCCGTGGACTGCCCCATCGCCTGCACCTACCCCTTCCACCCTGATGGCGAGTGTTGTCCCGTGTGCCGTGGTGAGTGGGTCTGGCCACCCGCCCCGGGCTCCCACGGGGCTGGGCCTCACACCGCCTCCTGTGCCCCTCAGACTGCAACTACGAGGGCAGGAAGGTGGCCAACGGCCAGGTGTTCATGCTGGAGGACGAACCCTGCACACGCTGCACATGCCAGGTGAGCTGTGCCCCTCGGTCACAGGTGTGTGGCGCCTGTCCTCAGGCCTCCGCCTCCTCACATGCCCTCTGCCCCCAGCTGGGAGAGGTGAGCTGCGACAGGGCCCCCTGCCCACCTGCCTGCACCGACCCTGCCCTGCCTGCCCCTGCCGGGCACTGCTGCACCTCCACCTCCTGCCCAGGTAAGCACTGCAGCGTGGACTGTCGCCCCTGCCTCCCTCTGGGGTTTTCCTCTCAAAGCAGAATAGCTGGGGAGAAGCCCAGGCCCAGAGAGGGGTATGGCTTGCTGGGGTTACACAATATGCTGGGCCCTGATGCCCCTGGTCTTGTGCACGCCTGTCACCCCTGCACTCTGGGAGGCTGAGGCAGGAGGACTGCACGTTCAAGCCCAGCCTGGGAAATTTAGCAAGTCTGGTCTCTAAATAAAAAATAAAGGACTGTGAATATAGCTCAGGGCAAAGGCCCAGGGCTTAATCCCCGGTACTATGGGACACACACACACACACACACACACACACACACAGGGGTGTTGGGACCTCATGGTTGACAGAGAGGGAGCAATCCTAGGGTGTCTGTGTGCGTGGCATCTCCCATAGTGCATCCTGGCAGGGGCCCTAAAGGAGGAGCATGAGCCAGTGATGGAGATGCCTCATGCACTCCCCAAGCCACCTCCAAATTTTGGCTTTCTCTGCACTGGGTCCGTGTGTACCTCAGATGTGGCTGCTTTTCGTATAGGGGACAGTGTCACTGCCAACCTGCTAGATGTCACATACATAACCTCGTGTTTCCAAAGTCGAGTGATGAATTCCAAGGAACATGGAGGTTAAGAATACGAAAAATTTATTGAGAGAGAGAGAGAGAGAGAGAGAGAGCTCCTGTGAGACAGGAGAGGAACAGAAAGTGGGTTGCCACAGACCCCACTTCACAGGGAAGTTTAACAGCAGAATCACAAGGAGGGTACAGCCACTAAGGGGTGTCAATCCCGTGGGGAGGCAGGTCACGTGGCAAGGGTGCCCAGACAGACGAGGACCTCTTCAGGAAGGGGTGGGCGGGGAGACCCTGCTCACCCGCCGGGTGACTGATGTCTGTCCGGACTACTGGACCAGGCCATGCCACTTAGGGTTCAGCCTTGAGTTACTGCTGACCCTGGAGGTACATAGGCCTGATCATCCTGCCTGACTCAGCTCCCTGTAAAGCTTTGAATATGTCTTAGACCCCAGGATGTCACTGACTGGGCCCGAGCTTCCTCTGGGCCGTGTGCATCTGGCCCGGGCCTTGGGCGGCAGCTCCTGAGGCCCTGCCCTGAAGGCCTGCTGTGCCGCCTGCTGTGCCCCTCTGCTCCCCCGCTGCACACAGGCACCGGGGCTGGCACGGTCTCCAGAGTTCAGAGGACACATAGCTCCGGCCATGCCTGCCGCCTCTTCCCAGCCAGAGCGCTGAAGACAGCTCTGTACTGAGGCAGCATGGGCCTCCTGTTGCCTCCCATTGCCTCTAGAGCCAGGTGGAGCTCTCCTGAGATGTAATTCAGACTGTGTAAGGCACACCTTGCGCAGATGTTAGCTGACCAGGCGTGAGCAGCACCCTCGGGCCGACTTTTACAGCCGCCAGTTTTCTTAATGAGCGCCAGCACGCAGCACAGCTCTCCCCAGAACCTCCTTCCTCTGTGCTTCTGTCTCCATCTTTTGGCCTCTTTTTTTCTCTGGTTTGCTTCTTCCCCCTGAAGGGGTGCTGGGCTTTAAAAAACAAAACAAAGCAGAGCAAAACAAAACAACCGCTACCTTTTCCGTGCTGGGATGAGCCCAGGGCTGGCAGGCCAGGCAAGCGCTCTACCACTGAGCCTCCACCCAGCCCTGAGTGGCAACTTTTATGTGGGTTTTTAGGGACACTCTTGGGCTTGCAGGAAAGCGGAGTGGTGGCCGCATGGGTCGTCCCGACTCCGCGCCCTGCCCTGCACTGCAGGGGCGCACTTGTCACCGTCAGTGACTCTCCTTGTCACGCCATCGGTGTCCAGGGCCCGAGCTGGAGGCATTTTGTGCCATCTGAGTAGATGAGGAAACCAAGGTGTGGGGGCTGTGCCCTTTGAAGGCCCCTGGGTCCGCGGCTCCTCTCAGTCTCTGTCCCGGAGCAGTGGCTGCCTCGGCCCTGGGCAGAAACCTGGTGTCTGCCTCCCGTGCTCTGCAGGTTCCCTGAGTCTGCTGGGCGCGAAGCTGGGGCTGTCCCCTCCGGGAGCCCCCCGTAGCCCCCACGGAGACCCCGAGGGCCCCAGCCCC